GGGTGGGGGGGGGGGGGGGGGGGGGGGGGGGGGGGGGGGGGGGGGGCTGATTGTCGGCAAAGAGGTGGCAGAGGGGTGGAGGGGGGCAGAGGAAAAGGTACCCCGTTCCTTGGGCTTGTTGTACGACACCTCGCCTCCGGGAGCTCCGTGTACTTGTAGGTTAAATAGCTCTGATTCCTACACTTCCTTCCAAGTGCCAACGACCGGAATCAGCATTACCTGAAAACCCGATCGAAGAGCATCCGTTCATGTTTACCACGTGGCGTTCCGGCTGCTTGCTCATGGCCGAACATGTTACTGATTTTTTCCTACATATCTTCCGGCACGACGCACGAAACTCGTTCTAGGCCTCATTCCCATCAAATAACTCTCGTCAAGCTCCTAACCGTTTGAATGCGTCCCAGGTTGAAGGCAACCTAGGACTAGCAGCTACGCCCAGCCTAGCCTCTTCCTCCTTGCCGCAGCGCACCTGCTTTCTTCCTGGGCTTCGACGTGCTGCCTCTTCAACTCGTCGGCTTCGGCCTGCGCCGCCGTCGTCGCCGCCGCCGCCACCACGTGAGCCCCGGCCACCCCTTCCCCAAGAGTAGCCTGCACCCTTGCTTCACCGGGTATCTTACCACGGCCGCCACCGCCGCCGTCACCCACGCTGTTGCTGGGTCCCTGGACGAGCATAGCACAGGAAAAAGAGGGACGACAACAGAGCGAGGGGTGCTCATCTACGATACTGTGCAGTGGTATGCCGCAGACGCTTGCGTACTAGAGGCAGGGATGATGAGCCTTCGGCCCACCCTTCATATGTGAACACACATGGGAACAACCAATCCATCAAAAAAGATATTGAAACCAACCCATCAGGAAGAAAAGGCGTGGCGCGGGTGGGAGGGAAGGAGGGCGCACGCTCGCTCCTCTGCGACCAGGTTGAGCTGAGCAAGCACAAGTCAGCAGCGGCAGGCATCACACCGCGCCGTAGCAAAGGCGTACAAGAGGCCGAACCTGATGCCATACGTAAACACCGGTCCTCATCCAGGTTTTGGTTGAAGTGTCATCATACCAACCGGTTGGGCAGTGGGACGAGGTCACAACTTTGCATGATTCCCGGAACAAACAATGGTAGACGCAGCAGGAGCTCAAGCAGGAGCACAGAAATCACCACAACAGCCGCCGCCGTAACTCCGCGGCTGCCCAACACGAGCACCTTGCTGGGGGCAGGTGGAAAACTCACCTCCACTAGCGCGAGCTTGACAGCCTCCAACTCGGACAAGGTTTCCTCGAGGCGAGACTGCAACTGCGGTCACGATGCGACGGAAGGGAGGTTCGCGGCAAAGAGTTCAAAAACAAAAAATACCACCACAGCGATAGGAGCAGGCCTGCATTGAGTATGATGGATCACTGTTGGTCGCCCAGTTCAGAGGAGAGTCAGGTCAGACGACGAGGTACATAGCGGAGAGGACTTCGAAGCGGGCACGAGGCAACGTGTACATCCACGACAACAACAACAACAACAACAACAACAACAACAAATACCACTACTACAATGCTGCTGCTGCTACTACTGCACCAGACACGCAAAAACAAAAACATTGACCCAACAATACCACCGGCACAGCATAGCCCACGGCTACAAACAGCGAACGCCACAACAACGAAGCCACAGGAGGTTCGATCTCGACGAAAGCCGTTACAGTAAGATATTCTCACCGCCACCAAGTCTCCGTCTTTTCGTGTGAGCCTCCTCACGACGTCCGCCCTCTCCGCCTCCGCCGCGTCCATGGCCTCCTCCAACGAGGAAACCCTGCAGGTGGCGGTGTCGATGCCGCCCCTCGCTTTCGCCTCTGCCGCTTCTGCGTCGGACAATTTCGCTGCCATGGCCCTGATTTCGTCCCTGGACAAGCCATAAAAAAAAAAACGACAGCATATCTATGCTGAAAATATGGGGAAAATACTACCAAAAGCAACACGCTTCGGCCCGAAGTCCAACCACAACAACAACAACGACAACAACAAACAAACACCAGCATCACGCATCAACTCGCCTGAGTTCCGAGACGTTCTCCTCAAGACCCTTCGCTCTTTCTCCGTTGGTCTCCGCTTGCTGGCGTGCCGCCTTCAGCTCGGTCCTTGCGGGAGACCAAGCGTACGGCAATCCAACAACCAAACACACGTGTGTAGACTACATGAGTGGACACGTTTTCAAAACACATGATGTCTGAGGGATTCGACTCGTTGTCCTTCAACCCACATTAACTGTTCCCTCCCCCCCCCGGTATTCGTTGATCTCCTTTGCACCTGCTACTGCAAACAAAATGAAGAAATCCACAAATGTATCCTAGCAACATTTCCGTACGAGCAAAAATATAACTACCCCGTTGTTGACGAGAGCAACAGAAACACCTAGGTCAATCCGGATGACCAAACGCCCTTTAGTTGACCCAGCTGATTTGATACGACTTCAAGGAGGGAAAATGAAAGTGAAAATTCCAAGGGTGCCGCTTTTCACGGTAAAGCTCGTTTAATGTCCAGGCCTCTTGGAATGCATTGCTCAAATGCAGGGATAAATTACCCAACAGCATGCGCTTCTACCAACGCTATCGACCGCTCGTGGTAGGTCGAGCTGCAAAATGAAACCATCTACCACACTGCTGTCGCTGGCACACAGGGTATACCGCCGTCTCTTGCACGGCCTATCCGGCTATCGGGATGCCCCCACCCTCGAAGACACTAAACAAACCACCCCACATCCCCACACTAAGAGACTCCATTGCTCCGTGAATGAGCGTACTAACTTCGAGGCTCTCGACCAGAAGCAACAGGCCACCAAACCTCTTTCCACCACGAAAGCAGATCCCACAAACACGCTCCGCTTCATTCAAGCTGCAATTTACCACCATACAGCATTGTGCCCTCTTACCTCAGAGAGACCCCGTCAGCGACCATCTTCTTGGCTTGACTCTCGGCGCGCTCGGCTCTCACCCTTGCCGCCTCCGCGCCGCTCGCGAGCCGGGCCGAAACCCCCCGCTTCTGCTCGAGCAGAGACCGGAGTTCCGCCGCGTCCTTCTCCCTCGCCAGCAACGCCTGGTTTTCCTCTCTTAAGGGGGGGGCGCAGAGTGGGAGAAAAAAGACAGCGACCAGAAGAACAAAAATTCGGCGTGAGCCGAAAAAGGTACGACCAAGCAGCAAATCGGGCCAACAAACACACAGAGGGGTTGGGAAGCACAACGGAGCGAACGGAGGGGGGTCAAAATAGCATGAGTTCTTGAGCGAACTAGGATGGGTCGCGTCGGATACGTTCCAGGGGACGAGAGGAAAATGAAAAATTCACTCTAGAAATCCTGACGGACGGATTGACTGCCATCCAGGTCAAAAGTTGAGCCGGTCAAGAGTGTGAGACACCGCCGCCGGCCTTTGGCTACACTATCAACGCAGTTAAAAAATGATTTGTACACACGGCAGTCGGCGATGTCTCAGGCGGGACACTTTGTGTCTAGACGAAGGTGCCGATTGGTTGCACAAGCCCTGCACAACAACAGCAGCAGCAGCAGCAGCAGCAGCAGCAGCACTGCATCCGTACGCCTCACGTGGTGCGATTCACTCTCAGAAGAAAACTCACTCCAACAGAAGACTACCGCGCGTATCACAAAACACAACACGCACTGGAAACCGCTCCCTGAGAATATGCCACCACTGATGCCCCCGGCGGCCACAAGCGGTACACGTAGGAGCTCACCTAGCAGCAGCAGTAGCGCGTACCCATTCCTCTACGGTTTGCGGACAATTGGAGCCGCACACAGGAGCAGATCTCGAAACCGGCAATCAAAAAAGAAAAGACGTACATACACGCAAAGGGCGCATGCGCCCGAGCGTCATCATTCATCTCACCTGGCCATGGCTAAGGCTTGCCGGACACTGTCCAACTCCCGCCCCAGCTCGTCCGTTCGCCCCTGCAGTTTTTCCGCGAGCTCCACGAGACTTTCCCCGCCCGCCCCACCGCGCCCATTCTTGCTGGTGCTGCCGCCACCCGACCTCGTGTCGTCCCGACGCCCGCTCTTTCCGCAGTCGGCGGCAACCACAGGCTGGGTTCCCACATGCCGTAGCGCTGCCCCCTCGAGGATTTTCCTGAGCTTAGCAGTCTCTCTCAGAGCCGCGTCGCCTGCGGCTGCGCCGCGACGAAGCTCCTCAAGCTGATTAGAATTTTGCGTAGTGGTTGACATTGACAGGTTGGGGCACCGTGCGTTGGGCGGAGGGGGCATTGGTCGGCATGGGTTGCGGGCATGAAGACCCCCACAATGCTGAGTTGGTGAGTTGAAGGTGAATCGCATGCAGCAACAACGAGAAAAGGAAAGATCGGTGCAGCGGTCTCAAAAGTGAACGACGCTCATCATCACCACCATCGGGAGCAGCAGCAGCTTCAAAGGCGTTCGGCATCGGCTGCGGCACCAACACATGCGCATCGAAGCGCAGCAACGCCGACGATGGACATGCGCATTCATCGTAGAGGTGGACGAGGAGCAATCACCACCACCAACGACGACAACGACAACGATGCCGACCATGTACCTGCGCCTTGAGAGTAGTAACGGCCACCTCTTGGCACGCCCGCTCCGTCTCTGCCTCGGCAAGCCGTTCCGACACCTCTTTCTCCTAAAACAAATACAAGCATGAGCAGCGTTCCGGTACGAAACGATCGCAATGATATCGACCATGACCAGTTCGGATTCGTATCTCGCTTAAATACAACGGCGTCTTCTCATCAGTCAGTCGGTTTAAGCATGGCCGACGCAATACCAAAGAAACGCACTCCCCAAGCACACGAGCACCGCATTTCATTGGCCGGTCATTTTGAGCGCGGTGCGGCCGCGATGCTGCTATCATAAAAAAAATGAAGAAAACGCCGCCAAGAAACACACCCCCCCCGGGGTGGAGAATCCTCATTCCGCGCAAGGGGGATGATCGCACCACGTTGTGTTAAAATGGTCAAGCACCCTCGAGGCAGTTACACAGTGCTTCAACTGTCTCTGGAAGTGAAAGCACCAGAAAGTAAATTGAGTCATACGCAGCTGTCATCCGTACGCAAGGAAGTAAGCACAAGATGCCGAAAAACCTTAGCAGAATGCAGCGCACCCTTCATGCGACTCGCCGAATACCTCACGGCGCTTCGCGCTTGGTGATGTGAGAGCCTGGTCCGGTGAGAAGCCGGCGTGCTCCGTCCCGGTTTTGTAGGGATGCGAGGTCAATGGTCCAACGACTACGGCATGCACGAATATGAGTACACCCCCCCACACCTCCTCCCCCCTCCTAGGTAACCGTTTAATTTTTACCTCTGTTTTTGTTTTTGGCGGTAACCATAATGGTGGTCGAGTAGATCATGTTGTGCCGTGTGGAAACGCCTCACCCCGCGCAAGGGGGGTGATCGCACCACGTTGTGTTAAAATGGTCAAGCACCCTCGAGGCAGTTACACAGTGCTTACGACTGTCTCTGGAAGTGAAAGCACCAGAAAAGAAATTAATTCATACGCAGCTGTCATCCCTACGCAAGGAAGTAAGCACAAGATGCCGAACACCCTTAGCAGGATGCAGCGCACCCCTCATGCGACTCGCCGAATATCTCACGGCGCTTCGCGCTTGGTGATGTGAGTGCCTGGTCCGGTGAGAACCCGGCGTGCTCCCTCCCGGCTTTGTAGGGATGCGAGGTCAATGGTCCAAAGACTAGGGCATGCACGACAATGAGTACACCCCCGCCCCCCTGTCCTCAGGTAGCTAACACCTTCCGTGCCGCCGCCTCCGCCCTCTGCCTCGCAGCCACGATCCCCGTCTCCAGAAACTTCGCGCGCTGTTCCAGTTTGCGGAGCCCCGCCGTAGTCTTGCAGGCCTTTTTCTCATCCTCTCGGAGGCGTCGCTCCAGCCTGCCCGTCTCCTCCCTGGCACGGGCCTGCGCGAGCATCGTGTGCGGTTGCCGCAAAAAACAGCACGTCAGGGCCGTCACTTAGCTCGGCGGAGCTGGTGGAAAACAAGTATTCGGGGTCGGGGGGCAGGGTCAACGCGTCCTTAAGGGTCGGGGGTCTCGTGCGGATCGTCGAGTAAAAAATCTCCAGGGTAACGATCCGAGTCACGTCCTATTGGCTACCGCGAGAGGGGGTCTCCGCTGTGGCGGGTGGATGAGCGGGGCGGGAGGAAGGCGATTGCAGCGGGAGGATGATGAAGAGCGACGGCTACAGCCGTGGCTATCGGCGGTGATAAGTTTGGCTTGGCTTGGTTTGCTTTGCATATTTTCGCAGTCACATCCATGCGCGCACACACACCTCAAAACAACCAACAGCCAGAACAGTCATGAGAAACAGGCACCTACATACCTCTCTGTCGCTTAGAGCCTTCCGCATGACTTCCAACTCCCCAGCGACTCGCCGCAGCTCGCTCCCTTCCCTCTCTTGCACCTCCGACGCCTGCGCTTGTGCCCGACCAAGCCGACCCTCCAGGTCCTTCACAACCCGGTCCTTTCGAGCACCCTGGAAGAGGAGTAGCAAAAAGAAAGGCGCACGCGGGACCATTGACCTCGCATCCCTATGATGCTGGGACGGAGCGACACGCCGGCTTTTGGTCCGCCGAGGCTACGTTTCACAGGGATGCACCAGAAGCTGGTCATCATTTCTGATGAGGGGTAAGGGCGCGCAGGCTCCAGCAGGAAATGCGGAGTAGGGCGAGGGCACGCTTCGGAGGATGGAAATAAACAATAAACGGCACGACATTGTCGAACTATGGAAAGGAACACACGGGAATGGGACGACCTAGTGGACGGATCATCTTGGACACAGAGAGGGGAGAGCAAAGGGATAGAATCTCTCCTCCCTAAATGATGAAAAGGGTCATATTGTTGGAGACTTGAAATGAGGAGGAGGAGGTGGAAGGGGGGGGGGGGAATGAAGACGGGGAGGAGTTGGAAGACGAGGAGGCGGGGATGGCAGCGACAAATAAGGGGGACGTCGTGAACAAGAGGGGCGGACGACAACGTGAGAAGAGGGACAAGGGAGACAGAAATAACGCGACCAAGGGGTGAAGAGCAACAGATGGAAAACAATGCG